AGCAGTAGCAGTAGCAGTAGCAGTAGCAGTAGCAGTAGCAGTAGCAGCTCATTTCTAGTGCGCTACTGAACTCGCACCACTCTCTCTCATCTTTGCACTCTAAAGTTGCTCGAAGCCTTTCGTTGCCCTGCTTTTTCAAAGATAAAAAGAAGTGAGAGCGCGAATCAGTCAAACGTGAAGATCTTATTCCCGACTGTCCAAAGGATGCCAAAGGAATCTGCAATCTTGTAGGGCACCAAAGACACCGGCAGTCTGGATCGTGAAGAGCTCTGCTACCAATCTCGTTGAACAGGTAGTTCAGCTCACAAGCCTGACCTGCTTTCCTCAAGCGCGTAGTCTGCGGGGTCGTCGCTCTATCAACTCAAGGGCACTAATTTGGCAACAAATCCTAACACACATGATCAAACATGGAAAATACTGCGCGCAAGATGACATTTCAATGAAGTGTATGACGTTTCATTTCCATGTCTTCAGGCTGTTGATGACCGATGGCAAGTAGTTGGCCAAAAGGATTGAAATTTCACCCCGACGCCCAACTTCGAAACCTGCAATTCAACTTCTTGAAAGAAGCAAGCAAAACACAGCTGGTTGCGCAATTTCCCTCGTGCCCTGAGATAGGGCGATTGTCGTTGCCCCAAATACTTTGGGATTGCTTGAGGCGGGCCGTGGGACCCTTTGGCTTGGGCTATTCACACATTAGCGCCCTACGAATACGGGGGAGGTATGCTCCCCCCACAAAACCTCTCCACCGCGACCACACACAGGATACTTCAGGCAGATAAACGTTTATGCTTGTTAACCATGTTCAAAAAACGCTGTATGGTCAGCTGCGGATTGAAATACCAAGTCCAATTTGCGTGGCAGGTGTGGGACGGTCAAATATCACACCGTTCTGTGTAGGATTCTTATGGGCTTGCACGTAAGAATACCACTCTCTCTAATTCACCCCGGCTGTCGACCCTTTTGTTGACTTGGTGTGCTTGATGGGTCAAGTGTCAAGAAGCCCAGAGTGTTTTGTGCCTGGTTTGGCATTTTCGCTTTATTTCCCGTAGCCATTTTGGCTCAAGAAAGCTAGAAGTTGCTATTGCTGCACTTAGTTGGTATATTGCTTGACTTGTTTTTGCTTTGCTGGTGATGGCTTGCGAGTGGAGCAAAGCCATGGGAGAAGAGGGCTTATATGAGGAAGTGATTGAGGCTATTCTGAAAATGGGTTTCAAGCGCAAAGCTTCATTTGCGCATGCCTTTGTCGACTCGAACGTCTTCGAAGATTGGCTTACACGTTTCAAACTGAAGTTGGATTCGTTCAAAGACCTGGACGATGCGGAATGGTTGACATCGCCCACATGTGGAGACCTCCGCGCGTTTTGGAAGAAGAGTTCGGGTGAAGAATTGCCGGCTCCTGCCAGTGCCAAGCATTTGCCATTGTTGGGCTCCTTGAGTCTACCAGCCAAATTTGGTGCTGCGGATCGCGAAGCCTTGCTGAAAGTATTTGAAAGCAACTACCCAGGAGCCGCGCTCACTCCCGAGACAACCCCGTGTTTGCCCTATCTGCAGACTATCCAGAGCCAATGTCAACAGAAATCTTGGGCTTGGGTCGCATGGCGCAGGATCCTGTCCGAAGCTGCGCTTTGGGATGTCCAAAGCCGCAAAGCGGGCACAAAAAAGAGGGGTCTGACGGAGGTCTTGGCTGAGGCAGCAGGTCTGTGTGGTGAAGAATGGGACTTGGACATGGGGGGGTCGCCCCGTCGCATTTTCAAATTCTTTGCACTCGTGCACATGCTTACGCCCTTTGTGGTGGCGGTCATTTGCAAAATTGGCTGACGTACACTCACAAATTCATCAGTCACTACTCTCGCAAATATGGCGCGGGCTGGAGAGCGCCAAACCCAACTGAAGCTGAGGATGCCGACCGGGAGGTGTTGACTGAAGTCTTCAAGCAGGTGCTTCGTGATGGAGTGTCCCTGGACACCGCCCTTGATTGTGTGGTTCGTGAAGATTTCTTTCGTCATTATCTTGGCCCGAGGCCCAGATTGGTACAGAAAGCCTTGCCCGGCCTGGAAGAGGATGGTGTGGTCAAAAAGCCAAAGCGTCGGTTGCCGCAGCCTCTCACTGATGGCAAGAAGCAACGGGACAACCAGGGCAAGGGCAAGCTAACTGGTGAGCCAAAGCAGCGAGCTCAATCTCAGTGTTTTGCCTTCAAGAAAACTGGGAAGTGCGCCTTTGGTGACGACTGCAAATTCCAACACGCCGAGTGACTAGATCTTGAAGCCAATGAAATGAGATCTATGCTGGATCAACGTGAGCTAGCTTTGTCCTGCGTGCCCCAAGCGGCCGAATTAGGTGCGGTAACTAGTTCAGCTCCTCCAGCGACGGCTGTCGACAGCATAGGGCGTGGAGCCACTGCGCCGCGCGCGGAATTTCCTATTCCGGATGGTGGTGGCTGCGCCTCGTCTGCTGATTGGTTAGCGCTGCGGGGTGCGCGTGACCTGCTGCGGGACTTGCGGAATCAATTCCAAGCCTTAGTAGTTTCTTGGGACGCAGTCGGCAGATTGCAGAAGCATTCGCGTGAACCTTCAGATGAGATGCTTTTTTCAGCAATGGAAGTTTCTGAAGCGCGACAGACTTTGTTGACCTTTCTCGCGAGCAAGGGTTTTGCCTGCAGTGACATGGTCAGTCCTCATCAACCTTTTCTCCTGGACGTTTGGTCAGCTTTGGGTGCTTACTGCAACGATGTGGATTGTTCATTGCCGCCATTACTGGCGCAGGGGGTTCCAACTGGTGTGGTGGAGCCAATCCCTGCCTCTGGCATTTGCAAACCTGTTTCCACCCAAGTGGATTCCCAATTAGATGACCTTTCCATTCATGTTCAACCGTGGCGTAGTGGACTTGACCGTGAAGATCTCACACTTGATCTCATGCTAAAAGACGTGGCGGCAGGACATGCTTTTGAACTTCTTGGCGGTGAAGCTGAAGCGAAGCTGCGTTGGGGTGACCTTGTAGCTGCGGGAAAACTAGGGATTGCTCAACCACCTGGCAAAAAACCTCGTCTCATTGGCGACGGCGCCGTCTCTGGCGCAAACAGCCGTTGTGTGATTGAGGAAAAGGTACGCTTGCCAACATTTGAAAGTGTGCAACGTTTCATGTCACACACCCAGCCTGGGGAGTGCTGGGGCGCACTGAACTTCGATGTGAGGGGAGCTCACAAGCTGGTGAAGGTTGCCCCTGCAGAGCAGGGTCTATCCTGCTTTGTGGTCAAAGGCCGCTGGTTTGCCTACAGGTCTTGCTATTTTGGATGTCGGTGGGCAGCTTACTGGTTCTCGCGGGTTGGTGCCTTCCTCGTCCGGCATTGTCACCAATTTCTTTGGGTCAAGCACGGTTTTTTCCTCTACGTGGATGATGGGCTAGCATTGTTTCCTGCCGGGGTGTGCCCCCTCTTGGCTACATCTTTGCTCCTTTTCTTAGCAGCGCTTGGAGTCCCTCTCTCTTGGGAGAAAGTGCGCATGGGCCACTTGCAATCGTGGCTTGGTTGGTCTTTTGATTGGGGTCTTGGCCAAGCTGAATTGCCGGACAACAAGCGGCAGATGTTGGTGGGACTACTACAAGAATTGACATCGGTGCGGCGCAAGGTGCCGCGCAAACATGTCGAGCGTTGCGTGGGCCTCCTTGTCTGGTTTTGCGGCGGAGCTTACTGGCTGAAGCCGTGGTTGCAAAGCTTGTACCAATTACTTTTCAAGCCAGTTTGTGTATTTCGCTCATTGTCCACTGGACAATTTAGGGCTTTGCTCGCCAAACTAACTGATGGACTCTATGTTTCCCAGGATTTGCGGGATTGTGATGTGCTCCGTGGATGGAAACTCCATTCAGTTTGGAATTGCCCAGTGTCCACTCTGGACAGCGAGCCTTTGAGAACTCCGCGGGTTCGCCAGGGTTCGATTAGCTGCGTTTTCTATGATTATTTTCAGGATATGGTTCCATGCAACCGGGCTTCCACTTGGGCTGCACAGTTTTTTCTTCGTGCAGTTGAGCGCCAAGTCAAAATTCCTCTTCGGGTGTTGGAGCCAGACCGGGGCCAAGCCGCAGCTGATGCATTTGCCACCCAGCATCGCGCTGGCATTGGTGGTTGGTGGTGCCCATCGGCTGATGTCAGGAAGTCTGAAGTGTCGTGGTTCAGTGAGCAGTTGGTTCCAGCATCTTTGCCGGCTTGGCTGTGCGCAAAAGCGACCTTGCAGCAAGATATCGCCTCCTTTGAAGGAGTGGCGCAGCTGTGCTTGCTTGTCGCGCGGACAGGCTGTGAAGATACTCCAGGGGGCTACACTTTGCGCTTGCGTCAGCTGTGTGACAACTCGGGCACTGCTGCTAGTGCGCGAAAAAAGCTGACTATGCAGGCCCCATTATGTTATGTGCTGCAAGCTATTGGCTTCCACTGCTGTGCCCTGGGCGTCTGTTTAGACCCGCAGCACGTTACTGGAGTGAGAAATGAATGGGCAGATGACTTGAGCCGCAATCGCTTGGAAGGCTTTAATCCAGCTCGAAGAGTCCGCATAAATGCGCGGACGTTGTTGGAGGCTCCGTGGAAGGACTTTGAGCAGGGTTGTGGTAACCCACCTGGACAGTTGGGGGCTTGATCAATTCTTCGATAGGGCTGGGAAGGTGGGCCTGCTGGGCTGCCACCCAGCAGGCCCACCTGGCAGGATTGATCAAGCGTTCTGAGCATTGAAAAATGCTGCTGAGAGTGCAGGTGTTGGTTGTGGTTTGGGTCCACTCACTTGGTGGGTTGTGTTAACCTGGGAGTAAGCTAGGTGAATTTGTAGAGGTGTAGGATTCTTATGGGCTTGCACGTAAGAATACCACTCTCTCTAATTCACCCTGGCTGTCGACCCTTTTGTTGACTTGTGTCAAGAAGCCCAGAGTGTTTTGTGCCTGGTTTGGCATTTTCGCTTTATTTCCCCCACCCTCCTCCAAGAAATTCTGAACAACTTGTGGAGAAGCCAGAATCTGTTGAACACTCTGGTGCAGGGCCTTTTTGCCAAGTGTTCAGGGAGTGTGGTGCTCTCTACAGGAACCCTTGCCCTACAAGGGAAGAATGCAGCTTGTGAATGCAGCGATCAGCATCTCTTAGAGCCCAAGAGCCCTGGGCTGGGAAGGTGGGGCTGCCACCCAGCAGGCCGACCTGGCAGGATGATCAAGCGTTCTGAGCATTGAAAAATGCTGCTGAGAGTGCAGGTGTTGGTTGTGGTCTGGGTCCACTCACTTGGTGGGTTGTGTTAAGCTGGGAGTAAGCTAGGTGAATTTGTAGAGAAACTTATATTGATAAAAGGCTTTCCGGTGTGAAAAATGGCCGCCCACACGGTCCCAGCTATTTTAATGTTGGTTTCGTTGGTTTCTAGGAGGTAAGGGTTAGAATCGCAACTATTGAAAAGAAACTTCTGTCGGGCAGCCTACCTGGCGAACATACATCTGCGATGTGGATAATGCAATCTCACCCGGGCGGCGTAACCGGCGTCGCGAGCGTTTGGTCCGAGTCCATATCGAATCCATATCAATTTGTATCAATCTTCAAAAAACAATGCAAAGCGCAGCATTGATTATCTACTTAAGAATCCAGAAGATTCTTACGGTTTACGCGATACATCCTCAACGCCTCGGCACCTTCGGCGCGGGTGGAGTTTGGAGTGCCTTTGGGTGCCTGAGCTTCCAAGGTTCTGAGGAGTCACGTTCTTACAAGTCAACAACCCTGCAGTCGTACTGTGCGAACACTTTCTCAAAGTGCCATCAACGATAGACCCATTGCTTGAGCAAGCTGTCTCAAAAATGAGAAACACGCCTTGCCCTCCATTCCTATGTTTGTCAGGGCAGGTTTAGCCCTGTCTATGTTTGGTAGTGAATGCCGAGAACCGATGGTACTGTATTTAAGTCGTTCCACTCACTTGGAGTCAGTTCCTGCGGTTTCCATTGGCTGTGGTCTCGAACACTGCTTTGTACAGGACGCGCGCCTCACGTGATTAGTGAGCCCTGGGCATTTGAGTTTTCGACTCTGTCAAAGCCAAGAGCCGAAAAGGACGACGCACCACTGCAGGAACTTCTAGGTCCTAGGTGTTGGAAGGCCAAACCGCTGCAGTATGGGAAGCCAAACTGTTTCACATTGAAATTGAGAGGCAAGCCAAAATGTTGCAGTCAGTATGGAGAATCCTGCTAGAAACCTGTGACGGCAGACAAACCATACCCCACGCACTCTTGCACGCGCTGCAACAACTATGTGACTTGAATTTGAGATGTTTTCTGTTAATGACGCTATGATGAAGATACACATGGGCAAGTCTTGATAAGTTTTTTTGGCAGCAAGTTGCAACTCGTTGCAAATGTCATGTGGGGGCCGCCATGTTGAAGATGATGCCCCAACGCCCGCAGACGATTTTAGAGGGCGATGTGTTTTTTTAGTGGTTGAAACTTAGACTTAGTGTGGTTGGCCTTGCTGGTCAACACCTTGCATTCTACAAAGCAAAAGGTTTATCCAGCCCGAATTGGTGAGCATCAGGTTTCCCCTTCAAGTGGAAAGGCGTTGATTCACGCATTCAGTCCAGAAACTATTTTTGGATTGAAGAACATTTCTGGGGTTCAAACGCCCAGTATTCTTTTGTCCTCTACCTGACCGTGCTTTGCCCAATTCAGAAATAGCACCGCGAAGTGCCATTGCTAATTGATTTCTCGCCCTTGCCTTGATTGCACGTGTGACGCAGGAGGGCTTCCCACCTTGTCGCTGATGTGACTGATGTTAGGTGTTGAGTTTGTAGCGGGCTTTGAACATTTTTTTTGCTCAAGTGTAAACTTATCAGCGCATGAGCTTCAATTGCCCAGCCAAGTCACCAATTTCTATCAGATTCAGTTAGGCATAGCATAGCGTCCATGTTCTCATTCTAGCAAGGAGTGATGTCATTGGGAAAACATGGTGTGGAACTCCCATTCATTTCGTTGACAACACTATCTATTTCTCAGAAATGTGTTCACAAGTTAAATGCAGCTGAATCGTTTCATGGCTGCCAGTGCGCTCATGTGAGCCATGGCAGGTGGGTAAAGTAGTTTGCTCATTGGAAGATTTGAACGGTTGAGTTTTCAGGCAACGGCGGTTTTTGCCGCTCCTTCGTCGAGCTTTGTGACCTGAACGACGGGTTCGAGTTGCACAAACTGTGGGCGGCTTAGAGTTACCACAGGATGTCCGTGTCGCATTCGGAGCTGTGTTGCAATGTTAGTATGTTGGACAAGAGTGGACAAGAGACCCACAACCGACTGATGACCTTGTTGGGGAAGAGGGTCTTTCCTGGAACCAGCAGTCCAATTGGGGCCCCTTAAATTGAAAACACGAGCAGAGGTTCATATTTGTTCTTCTGGCAGCCTGATGCGGCGAATCCCCGACCGAACGGAGGGCTGTTTCCTGGGGCTTTGATCCATGAGGCTCCGGACGACGACGGGCACACACCCGACAGAAGAGGATAAGAAGGCGGGTCAGGTTTGACGTCGATTCTGGTTCGTTTTGCATTGAATCGAATTGAATACAAGACTGATGACTCAGATAAAATGAAGGATCAAGTTTGCTTGGCCACTTTTTATTGGATTCTGCAGAGCTGTTGTTGAGAAAGACAAAACTGAGTGGCGTGGGTGCTTGTGTTGCAGTTGAATGGACAGGATTCCTGTGATGACGACATAGCAGCTGCTGTTGTGGCAGCCTGGAGTGCAGGGGATACTCCAGAAGGCTGTGACACTCTTGTAGCTGTGAACTCTATGAACACTTGCGCATGTGGGTGTCAGTGGCGTGTAATTGTGGGTGATCAGTGACATCAGTCAACAAGACAACAAGGTGGTTCCATATAGCTTTGGGCCTGCCTTGTGTGCCATTCACCAATTTTTGTTGTGTTCCACTCACTGTGTTGAGAGGCTTGGAGTCTGCTTTAGATGCGCTGCAAAAGTGGAGCAATAGGCTCCGCTCGGCTTTGTTTTGGTGCTTTGCAGATCAGAGATGATACCATGGGGCTCATGATCTCGTGGAGGTATCTCGATCGGAACGCAAAAGTTCGTTGGATGCTAACTCCCATGTCGGCAACTCATCAGCTTTCAAGAGCTTCAGAGCTTTACTGCACTTGATGTCGTTGAAGTGATCGCGGACCGGACACCTAGATCGTTTAAAAGCTTCATTAAGGTCTTGAAATAACTTCAGATTTCCATTTGTTTTGCTCTAAGCATCGACGCCAAGGCTGTGGCTAGCTGCAAGGACGAGGCTCAGAAACTTCATGTGGAGCTAAGCTGTTCTCCCCCTGGATGGTTGTGCCGCTGTGAGGCAGCTGGCCGTTCAGCTGGACGGCTCCGACTCCCGAAGATATCGTGAAAGAGTCGTTGAGGCCACCGCGTTTCGGCGTCGTGCTCTGGTGGTTTGGTGGGATATATTCATATATGTATATACGTATAAGAAACACATATACCTGGAACCTGAAACGACCACCTTTTTTTGGTTGTTTCGTCAAACGACCAAAAATTTTTGAAACGACCAAGAAAAATGGTCTTTTCTTAAACGACCGTATTTTTGTCAATTATGATGATGTTCAACTATAGTTGAATATATAAGTTGAAACACAAAACGCAAGGTAAATCTGTATGTTCATATGCATGCACATTGTAAAACACAAGCAAATTCTGTATGTCAGTACATGCACACACTGTAAAACACAAGCTAATTCTGTATGTCAGTACATGCACACACAGTAAAACACAAGGGAATTCTGTAGTTCACATTATAATTTGATGCGTTTGATGTGCTTTAGCAAGCACATCTGTGCTTTAGCAAGCACATCTGTGCTTTTGTAGGCGTTTCATGTGCATGCAACCTGCAGCATTTTGCTTAAATTTAAAGGGGGTTAGTGTTTGGTGCATGCGTGGCTATGTGCCATTGTCGTGGCCTGAGACTGCATGGTGAATGTGAGCATGCACAAGTTGGTTGCATAGATTGCATTTGATGCTGTCTTGGCCAGCCTTGTCTTGACAGCCATTTGGGCTGAACAAGTGGTGCTCCTTTACGTCCTTTACGTTTTGCTTCATGGCAGAGGGCCACAAGATTGAAGATGTCTTGGCACAGATACCGCCGCATGAGTTTGCAGCTCATGAGAAGTGCCTGAAGAACATCTACCTTGTGCTGGCACTGGCAAAAGGAATCGCCAGAAGGTATATGAAGATACAAGTTTCAATTCAGATGTGCTGACTGTCTTTGTTGACGCTATGGCTGCCCATGGAGTCACGAAAACACCATCAGTTGACGCTTTGAGTTGCTTGGTTTACTCATGCGCATGCTTACATGCAATCTTCTTTTTTCTTGGCCCTGTGACAGATGTCAGGTTATGAGCTATGGCGATTCTACATTGTGGCTGGCTACCCCAGTTCAAAACTAGCAGAACACCAAGCCCATTTGGACGCGCGCCAGATGAAGCCAATGTTCTCCTTTATGAGACGGAAATGGAAACGGTGTGAAAAGCCGCGAGAGACTTGCTTGCATCTCAGGATTGTGTTGCGCGTGCTTTTGTGGCAAGATTGGTTGACAATCTTAGGACAAACGAGTTCGAGCGCTCCTGGAACTCTACCAAAAAGCCTTTGAGAAGCCGAAGTCAACCATTGGAGAGAGTGCGGCAGCAAAAGTCATCAACCTGGAAGACGACAGTGATGAGGAGGTGAAGGATGATGAGCCTGAAGTTGAGTGGACGGAGACTGAATTGGAGACTACGCCGCCTGTGTCTTCATTGTCTGCTCAGGCTTCATCGTCTGCTGGCATGCCAAAGGTCTCTGACGTCCAGCAAATGGATAAGACGTCTCTGCCAGAGCTGAAGCAAATGCTTGCCCACGCCGAGCGGAGGATGTCTGCTAAGAAATTGCGCCTAAGCGGCATTGCTTCACAAGTTTTGGGCTTTGGCAAGCCAGCCTAAGGGCTTTGGGAAGCCTGTGTGGACTTGTCTTGGGCTTTCACAAGCCCCATGCAATTAGTTTTGTTTTGTTGTTTGATGTTTTGTCTTTCTGGCTCAGGATGCAAGAAGAAAGGGAACGCGTCAAATTGCTATGGCCCGAGAAGGATTCTTGTGAGTTGATTGACTTGGACAGCCCTCCGCCACCAAAGGTGAGAAAGGCGAAGAGCATAGATGAAGTTGTAACACTCCCAATGGTGGTCAACACGCAGGCCTTTGAACATGCTCTTGAAGAGGCTTTGCCAACACCTTGTCCAAAGGCAGGGGATGCACCAGATGTCTCGGCTGAGAAGACGACTATGGTTGTGACTCGCAGCCACCAGCTACACCTTAAGGCTGGCAAGACTGCAAGTCAAGCCAAAGAAGCTGTTGAGAAGGTCACTCGAAAGCGTGCGACAACTGATGAGGTCGAAGATGAAGAAGAGGCGCAGGAGGAAGAGAAGCCGGTCAAGGCTCGTCGCAGGCTCAGGAGAGCAGAGGTGACTGAAGAGGATGAAGAGATGCTGGTGAAGGCTAGTGCCAAGAGAGCAGAGGAGAATGAAGTTGAAGATGAAGAGAAACCGGTGAAGGCTCGTGCCAGGAGAGCACAGAGGAATGAAGATGAAGAGAAACCGGTGAAGGCTCGTGCCAAGAGAGCAGAGGAGAATGAAGTTGAAGATGAAGAGAAACCGGTGAAGGCTCGTGCCAGGAGAGCGCAGAGGAATGAAGATGAAGAGAAACCGGTGAAGGCTCGCGCCAAGAGAGCACAGGGGAATGAAGTTGAAGATGAGGAGAAACCGGTGAAGGCTCGTGCCAAGAGAGCACTGGGGAATGAAGTTGAAGATGAAGAGAAACCGGTGAAGGCTCGTGCCAAGAGAGCACAGGGGAATGAAGTTGAAGATGAAGAGAAACCGGTGAAGGCTCGTGCCAAGAGAGCACAAGAGGAGGAATGTGAGGAGGATGTCAAGGATAAGCGAAAGGGCCGAGGCCGTCCTAGTGCCAAGACAAAGCCTAAGTCAAAGGCAAAGTCAAAGGCAAGGGGCAAGCCTGATGAGTCGAGAAAAGATGTGGAGGAGACAAAGAAACGTGTTGCGGCGCCTGGCTTCCCCTTGACGTTTGCGCGTCGCTACCGACCAGAAAGTGAGTCATCTGCTGCTCACTGGGAGGCGAAGGTGAAGTCGTTTTTGCTCTATGTGCTGCCAAAAATAGAGAAGAAACAGAAAACACAGTTTGAGGCCTGGTTGATTTTGACCTACAGCCTGCATGTGCACCAATTGTGTTTGTTTCATGGTCTGCACTGCAGGTGAAGTTCTGGAAGTTTGCCACCGATGACTGGTCCATGAATGGTGAAGATGACAGTTTGAAGGGTCTTTCGGACTTCTACAAGACGAGTGCTGAGAACTTCTGTTCGTGAAGGACACATTGAATGTTTTTGCTGTATAGGTGGTGTGTTGCTTGCTATAGTGAGAGGATCTGAAGCTGCCTGATGAGCCCTGATGAGTGTGAGCGATGGCAGCAGTTGCTGCAGACATCATTTGCTTAGGGTGGCTTCCCAATGTGGAAGTATGGGGTGCAAGTGTTAGGTCTGTGGCTGGCTCATGGACAATCATAGTGGGACCGATGAACTAGCAGCTGTGAGGGATCAAATGTGCATGCTGTGTACCAGTGTGGCGTGCATGCTCCATGGGATTGTTTGCCCAGCTTTTTTTGTTGATCCTTCATGGGATTGCTTCATGATTGTGTGCCACACGTGGCAATCATTGAGGTCCACATGGTGAAGAAAAGGCTTGCTGGCTATCGCTCCATGGCCCGCAATGGCCAGTTGAGGCAAGTGATCTCTCAGGGTGTTGCTGACACGTGTTGCTGATGTTAATGAAGTTTGCAATACGAGACCTTTGAGACTTTGGTTGAACAAGCAAGCTTTTGATGCTGCTGCATGCAGTGTGAGGCTCGCCAGCTATATAGGGACTAAAAGACATGTGCATGAGTGCATGCATGTGTGAACTGCATAAACAATCAAGCAATGCGCGCATGGGATGTGAATGGTTTGGTGATGAGCTTGTTCAAACTCAAATGTCCTAAGGAACCTTGGCAGCAATTCATTATTTGCGTTGGTGCCTGGGCCTTTGTAGGCCTTGGGTGCTTGGGCTTTTGCCAGCCTGCCTTTGGGCCTTTGGGGGCCTAAAGGATTAAGTCTTAATGTTTGGGCCTTTGCAGGCCCAGTGTTTGGGCCGTTGCTGGCCTTGGAGTGCTGGAAGTTGCTTGCCTGCCTTTTGTGCTAGGTTTTCGCGCTGATCGTACTACTGGTGGTATGGAATGAAGATCTGGATGTTCAGAGCCAGACTGGGAAGGCCGATATTCGTGCTGTTGAGTGAGTGTGCATGACATCTCCTTGATGCCAGCTTGCGTGTGAATGGTCCTGCAATTTGGCCTTTCAGCAGTCTCTTGGCTCAAGATGCCAAGGGGCAAGGCTTCCACAGGAATGCGGAAGGCAACCAGGGCACTTGCAGGCCAACAATGAGTTGATTCGCAATCTACAGGGCCTGGAGAGCCTGCAGACGATTTCCAATCGCCAGACTGCCCGTGCAGATGGCCAACTTCATGAGACTTGGCTATAATTTGATATGCTGATTTGTATGTGTTGATTTGCATGTGCTTGCTTGTTGCTGCATTGGTGGTTGCTGATTTGGGGACTCAGGAAGGGGAAATGCACCGAGACCTCCTTCTCAACATGATGCGGAACATGGTATCTTGGCCATTAGTGCATGCGCTTGGTATATGGTAGTGTATGCACTTATTGGCAATATCCTAGGTAGATGCGGCTGATTATGATGAGCTTGCGGCAGCAGAAGCTGGCTCACCTGCCTCTTCAGGGGCAGCCTGCCCAGCATCCACTGTGCCACCAAGGGCACCACCTCCAAAGCCGCCAGTGCCTCCACCGATGGAGCCTCAAATGACAGCCCCAACGCATGGAGGTCCAACAGTGCTGCCTCCACAAATGACAGGGCCTCAGATGACAGCCCCAATGCCGCCGATGGGACCTCAAATGACAGCTCCAATGCCGTCGCCTCCACCAATGATGATGCCTCAGATGACATCCCCAATGCCTGCAGCTCCAATGGTGCCTCCCCCAATGACGACGCCTGGGATGCATCCACCAATGCCTCCACCACCTATGATGCCTGCAGGGAATGTGAGGCCTCCATCAGTGATAGGCCCATATGCGCTTGACCCGGTCCTCCTTGCACAGATGGCATCTGGGCTTAATTTGTTTGCGCTTGTCTAAATGATGCATGTGTGCATCTCATGTGTGGCTGTTTCATGTCTGCGTGTTTGGTCAGTGACTTGAGGTGCAACAAATGAATCAGCAGCAAGATGATCAGGTGACTTGGTTGGCTTGCATACAGGCATGTTCA